GCTGTGCCAGTGTCTCCATCCTGGAGACTGCTTGCTGGGATCTCTTGAAATCCTTCTCCATTATTAATGTGCATGTATATTTTAAAAGCTCTCCCACCATCCCATTGTTGAATGGAAATAACCTTAGGTTCCGGTAAACTATGCCTGAGGAGGTTGAACTCCAGTTCTACTAGGCTGGGAAGACTTCAGATCCCAGAGCAGATTGGGTGCCTGTCATCTGAGGAGCAGCCTAGCTAAGTAAGAGAGGTTCTTCATCAGAAAGACAGCCACAGGATGAACAGGGCATAGTACCTACACATGCAATAGCTGGGATGAGTCGAGGGACTATCCATATCAATGACATCACCAAGATATTCAAGGCACATATTTCCACTAAGCGTGCTTATGTTATTCTCCTATACCAGATGAGGGATTAATTCTTTGCGTCTCTTAATGATAAATAAATGTTTTTATTGTATCTACATGGGTTGCCTTTGCAAATGACAATAAGCCAGGATTCCTAGTTTACTGTAAATGAGATGATCCTGATCAATGCAGGCCATTTCTCTCTCTTTTTTTCTGTTCCCTGCTCCACCCTTCTACACCTAGGTAAACCTAACCAGGAAGCAGTGGCTTGACCATGAGGACCTAATGTAGATTCCTGCTCTGTTGCATCTGGGATTTATCAGTTAGAAATATCTATAAGCAGTACATGAGAGCAATAGATAACTGATCCACCTTGTTGTAGGATTCTGGGCTTATTCAATTTGTGCATGCATAAAACTCAATTTCCAATAATTTTTCTCTGACATGACTTTATTCTCCACCCATTCTAGTACAGTGGTGCCTTGACTTACGAATGCCCTGACCTGCGGACAATTTGGCTAATGAACAGCTCCGGCCACAAAATTTTGCTTTGACTTGCGGCCAGAGTTTTGACAAACGAACAGAAACAGGCAGGGGAAAAAGGCGGGAAATTCAAAAAACTTAACCTTTGGTGGTGAAGAGGCTGCTTCTTTGTAGCTCTTTCACCCCAATGGTTAGGAAAAGGGAGGCTCAGCCTCCCGGGCTTCTGCCACCGCCACCGATTGCCGCCTTCAGGCTTTCCTAGGGGGTCCTGGGAAAGCCTGAAGGAGGCAATCGGCGGCAGTGAAGGCGGGGCCTGCGTGGCTGCAGGGAAAGCCTGGTGAGCTCTCAGAGGGCTCCCCGTCGATAGTGGCTTCGGTGGCAGTGGGGGCTGCGTGGCTGCAGGGAAGGCCAGGTGAGCATGAAAGGCACTTTTGTGGGGAGGTAAGTGTGCTGCTTTTTACTGTTTTGGGTGGCTTTTGCAGGGTGGGATTGGGCTGGTGAGATAATTTTAGTGTTTTGT